TGTCAGAGAACAAAGAAAGCAAAGGTATTAACAACTCGAGGCTCAGAACAAATTATCGTTATCATCACACTTTTATTTGTCTTAACGGCCTCTGGTACAGCAGTTAGCGGCAGTAACCAGTAGTCTAACAGACCCATCAACACACATATAAAATGCATACGTGTCTCGTGCATATGCAGATACATGTTAATTTCGTAGACAACTTAAGATACACAATTTTCAGACAGGGCTACTCAGAAAGCTGAAATGTGCCAGCGGTCGTGGCTTCGATTCCCTCCCAGGACAAATACTTAGCGTGCGTGATGATCACGGTCATTTGTTCTATGTTAGGTGTAATTTTTCTATGATATGTATGTATTTACAAATATTTAAGTATGTTTATCAGCAGTCTGATCACCAAAGCACAGGCTCTGTCTAGTTTGGGATCAGTCGGCCGTGTGTGAGATGTGTGAGGTTATATTATTATTTTTAAAATGTGCCATAAAATAAAAAAATAAACAAAATGGCTACATAGTCTTATAAGTTTACGTTTGAAATATATTTTAATCTATCGTATTACAAACGCCTATGCTATGACTTTTTAAGTTATACTGGCCAATAAAATAAAACAAACCATTAAAACGGTCGAAACTTTATAAACGGAACGTTGATAGAGCGTTAGTAATCGAGTTTTTGCATTGTTTATAGCATAGAATACAAACGAGCAGATGGATCGCATGCTGGTAGGGTCTGCCGCTATCCATGAACACTAACTGAAGAGTCGGAAGAGAAAAGCACTCGTTGAAAAGCAACAAAAAAAACAGTGGCACTCCAGGAGTGAAAAAAAATTTCAAGATTTTATTTCTATAAAAATTGTTTTTTTTTATTATAACTGTTTTTTTTAACATTCGAAAAGTTCCGACATGAATATATATCTATGTTGTACGTATATACATATTATAATCAAATATCATAAATAAAAATTAAAAATAAATGAAATAGATGAAATACATTTATTTTATTGCTCACTGAGTGAATTCACAATAACAGCATTAAGAATTATTTCTTATAATAAATAAGCAGATGGTATAACACTATTGCATTGGGCTAAACCTGTAATAATAGTTGTTTTAAAGGAAATAAATAAATAAATAAATCATTTATCAATCATTAATTTTATATTAGCCAAACAGACACAACACTATGTTCCTGTATGTCTTCAACGTTATAATGGATACTATTTTCTCATACATTAAAAAATTACATTTGATAGTATTTATGTACTTTTTGTACGAAGTGCCTTGTAAGACATATTGGTATACTAAATTTAACATACCGGAGAACAGTCTTAGATTGAAGATAATGGGATTATAAGACACTTACGGATACGGGGGCATCCTATCTAGATGCTGAATTAATAAAAAATAATAAGAAACTCAATTCTACAATTATATAATTGTAGAATTAAGTTTCTTATTATTAAGTACCATCATTATTAAATTATATTCTATGACGTAACAGCTAGCAGTACAATCCATATAAACTTTTGTTTATGTTAAATTCATAATAGTAGCATATTCAACCCTTCCCCATAGTCGCATTCATTTTTGTTATAAGTAAACAAAACACTTCACGGCTTAATTGACGACAGAAGTCATCAATCAAAATGATTGGCATATACAAACAAGCAAATTACCGGTGTCCGTAGCTAAACCGTCACTTTCGGTACGAGAAAATGGCGATAAAAAGCAAGTTAGCGCGTTCATTCATGTTTGGAGCGGGCGCGTGTAGGCGCGCACTCCGCCTCTCAGGCTCGAACACCAATGCCTCGTACACTGTCACGTCACACGCATTCTTTGACAACAACTACTTCTCCGATTACCTTTGCATTCCTTCCCGCAAATACTCTTATGGGGTAAAATATCTTTGTGTTACATAAATACTGCGATTCATATCAATCTAACGATTGACGAAAAAGTAACGATGTGCCAGTTTTTTCAGTTGAACTTATGTTTAAAAGCGCGGCGTGGCCTCAGTTGCATTCGTATTTGTTTTGGTCTAGGCAATTATCAATTGTTAGACAGAAACCTTCTTTATCGATTAAAATGTTATGTCAGTCTCTACTTATAGTCTCAAAATGAGATTAGACGTCTTTCGTAGTTATTCCTTGGTAAAACTTGATGATGTTTTTTTTTTTTTTTTTTTTTTAAAAAGACAACTCCCGCATTAGGAATAAATCCTGTGTCGCGGGGGACTTTACAAACATACATGAAACGGACACAAAGAACACCCAGACTCAGAACAACAATTTGTGGATCACACAAAGTGTCGTCCCATGTGGGGTTTGAACCCACAACACTCGGCGTAGTAGGAAGCGGCGTGGCGACCGCTTAAACCACTACGCCATCCGTGCAGTCATATCTTTTCTCATATTGCGAAAAGTCAAGGAAATCACATTGCTCTTATTTTCATTGAATGGGATATAAACAAGAGTGTGGCGCACGAGTGCGGGCGGGGTCACTTAAAGTTAGTGTCGGCTCGTAAACGTATCGGCCAGGCGGGGGCTACTGAACGCTCGCCGCCGCCGCCCCGCGGCGACCGCACTCGACATGCTGCCGCACGTCGCCGACGCTCTGAATCGCACCCATTCACACATTAGCTTACACTGGATATACCCACATTTATTTCAATTTGCAAACTATTTGCAATAACAATAACGGAGATCATAGTATCTTCGTTACTGCTGTGAAATGTAAAAGCAATATATAATAATAAACTGCATTGTGCTACAATAAAGAAATGCATAGCTAACAATCGCGAAATTTTGGTGAAATTTATTTTAATTTGTGTAAAAAAAATACATTTCTTGAGAACATGAAATGAAAATAGTGCGCTAGTCATTTTGTGTAAAATCTAAAAGGCGTCTTTTGTAGAAAAAATGTTAAAACATCAAACTGTAAGCAGCAAATAGCATGAAAACTACTAGTTTTTGTAACACTTGTTGCGAGTAACGGTGCTTGTTACAGGGTATATCCACAATAGGCTCCCCTGGGAAAGGCGGCGGCGGCGTTCCGACAACAGACAGCGGGTGTCAGCCGCCACGTGCTACCCAAGGCCACTCGCTTAGTGTCAAGGTCATTGCCACTCCAGCTCAGTACACGTGGCACCCACGCCTCTCCTGTCACCACAAATAGACCGACCTACTCTACACCACTGTGATCTACCGCAACGAGTCGGCACGGGCCCACTACTCCAACGCTACTACACCAAACAAGTTGTTTTTTAATGCGATACGGGAACTAAGTGTTCTTTATAACCTGGTTATGCAACATATTATATAGTTAATTCGAATCAATTTAAACTACATAACAACTGTTAGAGACAACTATACAGATCTACATAGTATACCTTCAATCTTATGCAAGATAATTGTACGCAACATCAATCTCATATTTTTCTAAACAGGTTATATAAGATCACATAGCCCGCGGTGAAGTAATCGCCAATATCGGAGCAATTCTTTATGTATAGTAACTAATTACGAACATACTTGATCTAAATAGCATTATAAATTTTATTTGTAGTAAGGAATTCGAGACCAGACGACTTCAACTCCAAAAATTTCAACAGCTCTTTCCAAAAAAAAAGAAATCAATCCAATCGATCTACAACCCCTTAATGATCTTGCTACGAAAAGAACTTGCTCTTCATTTCAATGTATGTACTTTATAAATCTGATCATAACTTGACTCGTCATTCGTCGAGTACTCAAAAGCGATGCTTACCAATGCTGTAGAAAAGCTGCTATATAATTACTTACCTAATACCCGTGGGAAATTAATTTTCTTCAAGTCTTATTTAACGTTTCTTACTTTCCTAAGTAATATTCTTTTGAACACTGAATAAAAAGTTAAATAAACATTAGAAGCAATTTATCAGTTCCAAGTTGTATCAGTAGTCCTCATTCAACCTACATATGGATTTATTAGTATGTTCTTTTCATACAACGAGAGACAAACTAGCTTACCTGAAGCGTAGTCTGAATATTATATATGAAGACGTTAGCATCTATAAATGTTTCACGCACGCTTTTCCGAGCCCTATAAACCTATTAACGACAAATTCTATAGTGCAGTATGTTTAACACATACCGAAGACGACTTAACAACGAACATTTTACTATACACACACTAGTAGAACCTAGTGTCTGTAGTGTTGACCCAAAGGGTACATTTTTAACTACATTAATCTTATACAAACTCTTACGTAGTACCTTAAATATTTAAAATACAAATTTTGTCATTTTCATCAGCCTATTGCAAAATACAAATACTTACTCCGAAATTCATACCTAACTTACAAACTACATGAAGTTTTCCTAACTTAGACATCACTCAATAGCTAACTAAAGCAAGTCACATACAAAGTATTTGGTAACGTTATTTTTTCAAAAAAATCAAAATATTCATTAAAACTGTTTAATGAATATTTTGATGAATGTTATAATGTTTCGCTTTTCATTAAATGAAACTTGTAATGTGTTTCTTATGGCGGACTGTGTCGGTCTCGCTTTACGGCCATCAAAAGCGATGCCTCTGATATTATTAAACAAATCGAATATACTAAACTCGGAATATGATGATTATGATGTATCGTCGCAGTAAATAATATTTTAGACATAACTCTTAACGATGTATGTTCGATGAACTTGTGCTAAGTGAAAAATAAACAGTACTTAAATTAAAATTTTAAGTATTCAGAGCAGTAAACTTTAATGTATTTATATTTTTAATATCTAAGTATGTAGTTAAATTGTTATAATTAAAACTGTACAGTACCGTATAATAAAAGTAATGAGTTAATTTTTCACCTGCTTGTATACTAACTATATAAAACAGAAGGGTACACATCTAGTAGTTACCGCAATCCTTTAGTCTATTTCACAAGTGGGATCAGTAATGAATGACGTCAAATTAAGCTCTAAGCTTACCAGAAAACATTACTGGAACCTTAATTCGCGATTAAAGCAAACATAGTGCGCGGGGTGAGTGGTGGTGTGGAGACGAAGGCTGCGGAGTCAGTGCATGTGCGGGTGTGTGGCGGGGGTAAGAGGGACGCGCGGGCGCGGGGCAGGCGCGCCGCGGGCCGCCACTTCTCTGTACTCGAGGAGCCCCGGTACACCTCGGTTTCCGGCGGGTGCTCCCTCGCGGATTCGCAAGTATATCCCGCCGCGCCGGGCCCGCGTGCCGGCCACGTGGCCTTCGCTCACCTACACCGGTGACACCCGCTTTTTTACGCGCATCCATTGATAAAGCAGTTCTAATTAAGTATCGGCTATTAAAATAACGATATTTCTTTTTATGTGCACCTCTTCTTGTACTTTTAAAATAATTATATTATTAAAATTGATATTACGTAATCCATAAATAATAAAATTTACTTAATAGGATCTGGTTAAGATGCTAATAAGTAAATTTTATTGTTTGTATAGTCAAAGCAATTAGGCAATCAAATAAAGTTACCTTGAATACCTGTATACCTAACCATATTCATTTGTATTCCAACAAGAATATCTAATTAATATATTACAAAGGTAATATCTTACTTAACTCTCTCTCACCATCGATAATTGCATAAGATCAGGAAATTTGCCGACGGCAATATTTGTAGTACGAATTGTGTGCACTGATACTTCATGGTTTAAAATAATAACACAATTCCAAATATCCACTAATTAAATAGACACTAAAGGTTTTTGCAAAACCTTATAGAAAAGTAAAAAATGTATGTGGTTATACGATAGTGCTGATGTACAAGTATATTTATAGAGGATTTGATAAAGGATTTTGGATGTTCAGATCCATCGTTGTTTTGTTTAATTAACATAATACATTTTTTTTGTTTTAGTAAAAGTACTATTTAAATCATTTTCTTATCAATACTTTATGACTTTATTAAGACATTTCGACATACATATGTGCAACGAACTGTACCTATTCACATTATCTCAGTAAATGGACCGTCATTATAGCGTTTTGGATATAGTGAGCAATTCCACAGTCAATGTGGGAGAATGGAGTCAATCCAAGCTCTGCCGGACGAACAAGAGAGAGCATACAAACTCTACAATATGTACAAGGTAAGTTATCAGTGAAAGAGAAACAGACGGAGTCCTGCATCTGAATTCAGGATGAAATAAATAAACTACTGTGGTGGCAAAAGAGTACTGGTACGTCCCGTTACAGTCACAGTGGTAAATAAATGCTCTCTATATCTAGAATAATATTCTCGTTCTCGTTCTAGTCTCTCATGTTTAAAGCTGACCTACAGAAACCTGCAATATAGTAATAATAAAGATAACAGTGCTTTATTTTTAAGGTAAACAAAATTAGGAAAAATTGGTTTAACAATAAAATTCAATCAGCTATTTTCACCGAACAAAGAAAAAGGATTTTTACCCATTATTTTAACATTCCTTACTTTCAAAAGTAAGGAAGATATTGAGAAGGTAGACTACAGCACATGCCTCTTTGACCCAGGCATTTCGACAACCAGTTGTACCGTATTTGCTTCAAATGCACTGACAGCGTTATGAAATACCTACATATATCTGTTTATTTATTAACTAAGATTGCCAAAACCCTATAGGAATTGATCACAGGGTAACGCGTTAGTACAGCTGATATTGTGTGTGTAGATGTTATGTTTGTGTGGTATGTGCGTGTGTATGTGTTTAACTGACTGTAGTGTTGTTCACCAAGCTAATTATGGGAAAAAAAAGAAATCTATTTGCGTGAAAATGTAAAGGTACTAACAAATTGGCGATTATAATATTTACAAGTTTCTTGTTGTCAGTGTCACTCACATGTAAATCAAAACCACAACACCTCCCAACCCAAAATCCATTACCGTTAAGACTACAGGGGTTGCCGTGCCGTGAAAAACATACCCCTCCTTGTGACACAGTCAGTTAAAAAATAATACTGTGAACATTATTAGTTTTATCATTAGTAATAGTATTTATATTTCACTAGCTTTTGCCCGCGGCTCCGCCGACTATTACTTTTTCCAAAATTTAGACAACTTTTTACTGGGTAAAAAGTTCAATTCCCGACAGGCAGTACAAAATGCCTTTGAAGAGTTTGTTGCCTCCCGTCCAGCTGATTTTTACAAGAAGGGCATCAATAAACTGCCAATGCGTTTGCAAAGATGCGTCGATTGAATGGGTGATTACTTCGAATAACAGAAATAAAAAAGTTTGAAAAAATAAGTACTTTCACTTATTGCATACAAAACGGCAATTTCATAGGTAAAGACCTAATATATGTTGTGTATATGTAAATATGTATAGTGTATATTCTTATGTAGTGTGTATATATTTGTATATAAGTTGTACATGTATGTAGTGTTGTGTAGTGTATATTTTAGTTGATTAGTAATGTAACTTATGTGCGCTTGCCACTCACGATTTCTACACCACCTAAAGGTTGACTGTAAAAGAATGCCCTTGGCATTAAGTCCGGCGATGTACAACAGTGCAAACAGTTATGTGAATAAAAAAAAAAATATAATATAACATAAGCTTTCAACAACGCGTTTCAACGTTTATTTTGCGAACTCTGACATAATCATGTCACTGTACTTAGTCAAATAGATATTTGACTAATGGGCTCGGACTGCACACTGACTTCTAAGAAACTAGAACTACCACTGACTAATAAAGTCACTAGGCAGGTACCTTCTGGTACCGATTATATTAAATGTATCAAAATCCTATTATAAATTACATGTATCTAATTATTCCACATATCAAACCAAAGTACAGCACACCTAAAGTCCTTCCTTCCTTTTGAGCCTTTTTTGCACGTTACGGCTGAACTTCTAAAGTAAAAGAAAATATTACGTTTTCTACTACGTTTTTGATTCCAAAAAACCCATTGTCCAAACAATATTTTACAGCTAAATATATTTTATTAAAATAAGTATATCTGAAAATCTAAGATTGTTTTTACCCTACTGAAAAATTATAATAATTTTCGTAAATATCTGTTATAAAAATATCATGTAATATCTTTAAATACCTTGTAACATTTAAACTAATGAATTGATTTTGAAAATTAGGTAAGCGTTATCAATAGCTCGATATCGGCTGATAATATATTCGATCAATTAGTAGACAGAAAGTATGATTCTATTTAATCTGAGGTTAGGAAGTGGATGAAAATCGCGTTCAAAGATTTCATTACTCGTATACATCATACAGGTGAATTTGATAAAAGTAATAAATAGTGGTCCAAGCTTTTTTTCTTATTAGACAGGATATCCTTTAAAAAAAAAATTCGTCCGCTTTGCCTCCTTCTCTGCTTTTGCTCCTTCTCTCGCCTTTGCTTGAAGTCAGATTATCTCTCATAAGTTAATTAGATACCTACAAGGTAGTCAGTTTAACTCAGGTTTCTGCCAGTTTTAAATGATTCAGGTAAACAAAACAACAAATGTCCGTTCAGAGCGATTCTACCTTCATACTATTCAAGATATGTAGAACCCATTCACTTTTAATCCAGTCTATTGAGTTTTACCAATTATAACTCCGAACGGTTTTAGATTTTTTTTTTATTCTTTTGTTTTTTTTAAAAGACAACTCCCGCACTAGGAATAAATCCTGTGTCGCGGGGGACTTTACAAACATACATGAAACGGACACAAAGTACACCCAGACTCAGAACAACAATTTGTGGATCACACAAAGTGGCGACCGCTTTAACCACTACGCCATCCGTGCAGTCAACAGAGGTATCTTTGAAAGAATCCAATGGTAGTACGGTAGAAAATACCTTTTACACGACTAATAATAAATAAATAATTCCGATTTGATCATTATAAAGTCTTTAAAAAGTTACTTTAAATGAAAACATTAATACTTGTAAAGGAGGCATTAACTAAATGTTTAACTCGTAGAAAAAGAGATTTTAGCTAAAAAAAGCCATGAACTCTATTCACTCCAGTCTAAAGACTCTGAGCTTGCTTTAAACTATTCATAGGTTTTTCAACTCACATGTGACAATACTGATGCTTTATTTATGAGCAACAATAATTAATCACCGCTACAATTTTATTGTATAACCAAACACCGAGAGCACTTATATCACCATAGCCAGGTCTTTAAAATCTTTTTTTTTTAATATTAGATTCTAATTCTTCTTTAGGGGAGAATACCTTCTCAAAAAGTGAATCTGAGTTACTCCCACTTCAAAGTGAACCGACCAGTTTTCGGTTATCATTTCCACCCTTAGTGATATTTTAGGCTAACATGTTAGCCTATTCTACGCTTATAATTTAAAGAACATAATTAAAATATATTGCAAGAGTTTTTTTAAAGGGTGACCCGCAAAGTCGCTTGAACCCTCATAATAGTTCAAGGCTCTGTACAATTCACAACGGTTTTGATGTACAAAAGCTTAAAGAAATGGCAAAGCCCAATGTAATTTTTCCACAGCGGATCTCTCATAGTAGATAGTAGTCCTATGATCAAACAAAACCGCTACTATAGTATCCTGGCCCATGTGCAATTTTTGGTTAACTTTGACCTATCAGAACAGAGGTGATTTCTAGCAAAAACCGAAACCCATTTCCCCTCAGGGAGGTGAAACAGGCTATCGAACTCCTGCTGCTTTAAAATCACCCGGGTGCGGTGTTGTGATCAGGAGAACGAAAATCGTCATTAAATTCCTCAGAATTCCACGATGCTCATTGAATGCTCATTCAAGATGGGTCCCGTCACCTGTACTCTGAGAAGTGCATTTCCGTGCTTGCTGTCCCTTAGGCACATGTCTGACCATGAGTTCGAACGACAACGTCCCCGAAAGTTGGCCATCCTCACTCCGTACCGTGAAAAGAGCTACCGTATAGAATACTACCTACTAGGTATAGTATACTGCTAGGTATAGAATACTACCGTTAACACCGACTACCACGACGAGATCACGGCGATGCCTAGCGTAGGTAGTATACTCCACATGTGTGTGAAGCGCAGTGACAAAATCATTACAATGGTGATACCATATCACCGGATCTCGGTCGGTCTGATACCGCCACTTGCCGAAGCATACATTTCATCTGAATGATGAGGAGCCCGTTCCCTCTAGTGTGATCAACACCTAAATGACTTTTATTCCGCCTTTTAGGGCCCATTGAAATTTAAAAAAAGGAAAATTTTCACTAATATCACATACGAGTATTTGCAATTTTCATAATGTACAAGGATATGTAGTTACGCTATCTCTATAACTAGATAGTACGAGTATTATGAACGAAGTGCTTTCCAAGAAACCCTATATTATACTGATGAGGCCCGGCTCTGATTTAAGTGGGCATTGATTCATTGCCTGCTGGAACGGTAGCCATGGTTTGAACTTCATCAAACCACTTTGTTTTTTTTTACGTGTGGAAACCCCCTCGGGCCGTCAAACCAACGGGGTTTGCGGCGGGGTGGTGTGTCGGAATCGGAAAAAACACACGGTGTGCCACTCTACGCCTGTAATAGGAGGGATGCGGGAGCTGCTGTTATGAAGACATCCGGACCCCTTCCAGCTCCGGCCCGCAACGGCGCGGGCACCACCTTCGGGTACATTCTTTATTTAAGCGACGTCCGGTACACGCGGACGTAGCCTCCGTTATGGCGGGTGGAGTGGAAAACCCGCGGTCACACTCAGGGCGGCATGAGGCGGTGGTAAGCGCGCCTCCGCCGCCCGGATGGCGACCGATTGGGTCCGAGTGGATGATGTCCTCCCGGGCCCTCTCCGCCGCCTCCTTCTGCGAGATGACGTCTTCGCAGAAGGATGCGACCGCGGTAAAACATCTGTCACTACTGGCCATGGAGCGCATGACGGCCGGTAGCGAGAGATCCCCCCCGATGACTGCAATGAGAACCCGGCGCTGCGAAGCTCAAGCCGGGCAAATTGCCAGCGAGTGCTGAGCCGAATCCTCACTGCAATCGCAGTGGTGACAGGCGGGACTCAATTCCCTCCTAGCGACCGAGTGCAGGTACTTCCCGCAGCAGCCGAGCCCGGAAAAGACCATCGTCAGCCGGAAGGAAAGGGTCCCGTGCTGCCGCCCTGCCCACTCTACGATGACCGGCCGGAGCGCCTCCATGGCGGCAAAGCCAGCACGTGGAGCCTCCAGCCGGGACAACCAACGAGCCATCGTGGCTCGGCGAGTGCCCTCACGCCACTCGCGTATCTCGTCGGGCGGGGGTCGAATGCCGCTATCCGCCCGGAACTCCGCCGTCCGCCGATATACTTCGGCGAGCACTTCCGCCTCCAAATCCCACGGGGGTGTTAACCGCGTATGGCTCTAACCGCCAATATCCTCTGAGGGCGCCAAAGGCGTGCCCTATTCTGAGCAGTCAGAGCCACCGCCCACACCGGTGTACCGTATAGTGCCATTGACCGGACAACCCCCGTGTACAGCCGTCTTGTAGCGACGCTGGGTCCACCTAGATTTGGCAAAAGTCGCCCAAGGGCAGACGCAGCGCCGACCAGCTTTGGAGCAAGCTGTCGGAAGTGCTAGTCGAAGAGCCACCTCCCGCCGTATCCTGTTTGCAACAAAACAATTTGTTTTTCCAAAAAGTTTTTTAATCTGATTTTTTATAAATATAAACCAAGAGGAGATGCCTCAAAACGGACGTAGTGTATTTTATGTACTCCAGTTTCTGTTAATATTTTTACTTTCAAATTCTAAATGGATACAGTTTACAGGCGAAGTACCTACATAGCCTTTACAAGCGCTTAACATAAATAAATGCAGGTACATATTACTACATTTTAATGACTATTACAGGTATATAATGATTTAATCTATACTAAAATAATACTTATCTTCTATGGACAATTTTTTAGGAGGCTCCAAATCTACCTTCTTACTCCAAATTTTAGTAAGAAGAAAAAGACAGTGTTACTTTGGAATAAGAAGAACAATAGCGCCACCACCATGGTGCGGCAGGGTAGCACACTAGAAAGAACCGAGGCGCGGCGCGGCGCCCCACCGCAGCGCGCGCCACGACCGCCACGCAGTCTTCCCGCGCGGTCCGCACGTGCGTCTAGCGTGCCTTTTTACTGTGCTTCTTTTAAACGTTTCCGTACGAACTCGAAATAGGTCTATATTCAAGTGAGAGAAATAATACTAACAGAAATTTTGTGTGTCTTTATTTGGCGCAGGATCACACGGGTCCTATACATCGTTTCGGTAGTTAAATTGTACTGTGTAAATGAATGAATGACTTCAGTGCTCTATCAATTGAAATTGTATTATTTTCTATTTCCTCCGTAGATTAATTAGATCTTACATGGGACCGGAACGTATAAATTAATTTATGTTTATTGAACTTAATTCGTTTCGCTGGATGGAATATGTCTGTGGCAGCTAATTAAATATTTAAATGGTGCGTACAAACTTTCTGTACTTATTTAAAGTATTTTGAAAACTCCTTAACTTAATTTCGTTAATAGTTGTTGTTGTGGGTTATTTATGACATATCTTTAGTTACGGCAAAAAATTATTTATACTTATTGAATAATTGTAGCAAACTAAATAAGCCAATTACAATTGCCACATCGCTTTATGAATTTATAGTACAGACCTACTTATGTAAATGATTGCGGAAGTAATTTTAAGTCTGATACAATAGTAACAAATGTGTCTTGTTTTAGAGTACCCAAATACAAAATTGACTATTTATTTGTTTCTTAGTTGGTACCTACACCCGGGTTTATTGCCCCGTAACTTAGTCCATAACATATTTAAACGACGTTGTACGTGTTCTAAAATTCATATACCTAATTTATTTGTTATGAAGCTGTTTTATGTAGTTTTTATACTTATTTGGCATTATCATTATCTGTAGCAAACTGGCGCAGAGCTATTGATATAAAGATAAGATAGACTAGGGCGTTCTTAGTTATATTATTTATTTCATTTTAATTTACATGACGTATACACTGCATGAATGCAAGTGTGTGTATAATGTCCGTATGTGTGACTGTGATAACCCTGTGTGTGTTTCTGCATGGTCATGGACATGGTCTGCATTTTACTTTTTTTATTGGGCTATGGGTCAAAATAACTCAGCCATCTTTTCTCGACAAGTCATAAACATTAACAAATTAAATACATACTCGTGTATTAGACATTTTACAATTACTATCTTACTTCATATGGATGTTAGTAAGGTAGTGCATCCATTTTCCGGACCTGAAACAAAATACTGTACAAATAAGCTCGTTCATACAGACGATGAATGACCACACTAATTTATTATGTAAATAAAAGAAGTAATAAAGTAAACGACCTAGTTTTTGCAAAACATTTACATAATTAAACTTATACTTATATATATTTTTTTTTTTTTTTTAATAATAATTGTTCTAAAATAAAGAAAAATTATTCTAAATAGACTAAAACTATTGTTATTAGACTCTGACATGCTGGATTTTCTGAATTTAATCAACATCTTTCTACAGTTAATTATATTATATTATTGGTGATAGCGTAAATGTTTAGGCGTTAAATATAATTTGAAATAGTAGCGGGTTCAAACCGACGTGAACCCACTCCAAAAAAGCAAATAATAAGAAAACCAGGTGAAAATACTTAGATGACACTTATAGGTAGATACAATGTAAAAAAACTAGGATTAATCGTCATCATCATCAAAATCTAAATCGGCTTAGGAGCGAGAAAATGATGCCTATTTAAGATGATGTGATGATGATGATTTGATGGCTATTGCTAATGTTTACCAAAAGGCTTTGGCCTGCTCTACCACGCTGGCCAAACGGGTTGCCATAGGGTTTCTTTCAAGTTTTCCTTCTCTTTGCAGTGCTGTTGTCCTGCATTTGCTGTTTGCTTAGCCTGTTTGCTTCCTTAGTCGGCTCTTACGACACCCACGGGATGAATAGGGGTGGTCACACTCCGTATTCTTAATCCATACCGATACACATTGTAAACAATACTTGTATATAATATATGGACTTGGACTATATGGTTGATAAATTTTGCAACAACAGCTGTATAGAAATAGGTAGGGCAGTTGGTCAATGGTAGTTCCTGCCTTGACATATAATGGTTAAAAAATTATAAAAACCAGAAATACCAAAATACAAACATTACAAAGCATATTCATCATAAAAATACAAGGCGAAGAAACAGGAAAAAACTGCTGTACTACACGATAAATCTTGATATTTCAAGGGGTTACTTGAAGGGCCGTGGGTTTATTGTTGTAGGGTTGACAATACGCGGTAAATTTATTTAAGCCAGTCAGTATGAATGTTTAAATTTGCTGTACAGTTTCCAGACTAACCTAAACAATAATACATGAAAAAGCGCCATCAGTCGGTAATAAAACCTGAATCGATTAACATGAAATTAAAACGCAAAATGTTAAGTAACTTTAAAATTAAAACTGAGTCTGAGAGTGGTAATGTTTAGAAGGTTATCTTTGAATAAGGCTTTGAATGAAATATGTTTAGACTAGCTTTTGCCCCCGTCTTCGCTCGCTTAAATGTTAATTCTGTCATTGCATAAATAGTAGCCTCTGTGCTATTCTTATTCTTCTTTCTATGTGAAAAATCTCATTTAAATCCAGAAAGCGGTGTAGCGTTAATTAAAAAAATAGGTGTCGAATTATTCGGTAAGACCCGTTATGGAGGATTTTTTTTTCTAAAAAGACAACTCCCACATTAGGAATATATCCTGTGCCGCGGGGGACTTTACAAACATACAAGAAACGGACACAAAGAACACCCAGACTCAGAACAACAATTTGTGGATCACACAAAGTGTCGTCCCATGTGGGGTTTGAACCCGGCGAACAACACTCGGCGTAGTAGGAAGCGGCGTGACGACCGCTTAAACCACTACGCAAACCGTGCAGTCGCATTTTCGGTCGAATTTCCGCACAGGAAAAAAAAAAGGTGTCGAATTATTATTATTTGCGATAGAGAATATAATTATACTGAGAGTTTGGATTCGATAAGTTAAAAACAAAATAGTTCCCCATAAAAACTTGAACCCCTTTTTAAGCATAGTTTTGAAAAAAATATCACAATATTTTTTTTTTCTTTTAAGAAAGAGTATTTACTGTGAGTCTGAAAACGCTACTACCAAAAATAACGGTTTTGGTAGTAGCGTAACTCTTTTGGCACTCATAGTTGTAGAATTTTTAAAAATCCTTTCTTAGTGCACACCTACGTCAGCTAAGGAACATTTGTGCAAAACTTCATGCTTTTAAACCAATCGGTTTCAGCTGTACGTTGATCGATCAGTCAGTGAATCAGTCTGTCAGTTTCTTCTTTTATAGATATAGATTAGACCTCAAATTTTATCCATGGCCTATCCTGTCCATGGGAACAGTTTATTAATATACCTTTGCAAAAGAGAAAAAAAAAGGTTTTATTACTATTAATATTCATTTTAAATATCTAATTTAAAATTTCGAATGAACCCCGAAGCTCAAACAGCGGATCCCTTATAAAGTCACTTTATTGTCCGTCTGTCTGACCGTCCGTCCGTCTGTCTGTCAATACCTTTTATCGCAGGAACTCGACACTCTTAAGGAAATCAAAATTAATAGGGTACTTCCCGTTGACCTATAACTATGAAATTTGGCAAGTAACATGGTCTTATACTACAAGTACATGAAAAAATCTTTGTTTAAAGTACATAATCTGTCATCGAGGTACAATTTCACTTAAAAAACACAATAATACAAGTAAATAAAGTTTTTGGCAAATGAATTTCGGAAAAAAAACTCTGATAAAACTGCGAAACTCGTTTGTACGCCCTTTGTGGGCGAGTCCGACTCGCACTTGTCCGAATTTTTATTCTAAGTTTTGAATATAAGTATTGCATCTTTTACCCATCCATCCGAAAAATATTTTCTTGTTTATCGTATTTTTGTTATGTTATTTCTCGTATTAATGGTAAAAATAGTGCGTCGTAAACTTATAGGAAACACGTTACGTAACTGAGAAGTTAGATGAAAAACTATCTATTTAATATTATACATACACTACCAAGTCTCACAATATAAAAAAAATAACAAAGCAACATTGACAACATATTCAACAATAGTGTTAAATTTATTTGGTGCAAATGGCTAATGTTTTCAGCCATTACAGCTAATACACGTTATAAAAGTGTGAGTTAAAATTTTAAGAAAAATAACTCGTACTTTCGATTTTTTTTAAGATTTTGAATATGTGCAATATTTAACAATTGGAAAAAGATCCAAGATTCCGATAAACCGATTACATATCGATTCATCTATACGAGGGGTGATCAATAAGTAATGATAATCAATATGAAACAGAACTATTAGATTAAAAAAAGTATTTTATTTTTCAACATAGTCTCCTTGCAAGTTAATACATTTAGTGTATCTTTTTTCTAAGCCCATGATTCCCTTAGAAAAAAATTCTTTGTCTTGACCCTCCCAAAATGCCTCTACTGCGGCCATCACTTCACTATTGTCCTCAAATTTGTTGCCCCGGAGGTGTTCTTTGAGCCGAGGAAAGAGATAGAAGTCACTGGGAGCTAGATCTGGCGAGTAGGGAGGGTGTTCGAGCAGTTCGAACCCCGTTTCTTCAATGGCAGCCATCGCAACTGCGGCTTTGTGAGCCGGGGCGTTGTCTTGGTGAAACAGCACTCCAGCGCGCAGTTTACCGCGTCTTTTTGACTTAATAGCTTCTCGCAATCTTCTTATTTGGCCTGCGTAGTAAGAGCCTGTTATAGTGGCCCCTTTTCCAAATATTCCACAATAATAATTCCTTCTGCATCCCAGAAAACAGACGCCATAACCTTTCCCGCTGAACTTGACACTTTGAATTTCTTCGGCGTTGGTGAGGAAGCTCGTTTCCAAGTCATTGATTGTTGTTTGGTTTCGGGATCAAAGTGGTGGATCCAGGTCTCGTCCATGGTCACAAAACGCGACAAAAAAAATTCTTTATCGGCCTGGAACTTTTAAAGATTCACCCTCGAAATGTCGACTCGTTTCTTTTTTTGCTCGTCGGTTAACATTCTCGGTACCCAACGCGCAGAGACCTTTTTCATATGCATTTTGTTGACAATGATTTTTTGAACGCTGCCATAGGAGATCCCTGTGACCTCAGCTACATGCCTTACGGTCACCCTTCGATCGGCCAACACGATATCTTCCACTTGTTTGACGTTTTCTCCAGTAAGGGACGTGGAAGGGCGTCCCTCGCGATGTTCATCTTCAGTGGAGGTTCTGCCCAGCTTAAATTCCTTTGCCCAGCGTGCGACTGTGGAATATGGAGGAGCAGACTCCCCCAATGTTTCCTCTAAGTCGCTGTGTATGTCTTTGGTAGACATTTTTTCAGGCAGAGGTACTTGATGACAGCTCTTATTTCATTTTTCTCC